AGAACTAATTACATTTTCGTACACTGTCTACTACCCTATTGAGGTCGCTAGTACCGTACCTGTGGCAACCTGGTACACTAGGACTCAATCGGTTTTGATATTTGTTATTTTTATCGAGTTTAAAAAAAGGAGGTACTTATGTTCGGGTGATTGTTTATTCGTGGGATAAGGTCCAAAGTGGATGATTTAGTCCAAGTCAGTTAGGTCCAGCGGTCACCGCGTCAAACTCTGTTTTGTCAAGCTATAACTTGAGATAGAGTCTGGCAAACGAAAGTAGAGACTGAAAAAGTCCGGCAAATTTAAAAAATATCAGTATAGCAACCCAAAAATTAGTATGTCATACCTTTTTTCTTTTTTTTTTCTTTTTTTTTTTTCGCCCGGGGAAAATGCCGTGCATACCCGGCCTCGCGGGGCCGAGGCCGGGTTATGTGGGGCTCGAACCCACTAAAAACCCCGGGGTGTGCCACTCACGCATGAGGGCGGGCCACAAGAACTGTACTTTCGCCAACGCCGGGCTCCTTCTCCTGCGGGCGGCGCCCGCGCACACCGCGGATGCCGCCCCCTCTCGGGGCGCTGCGACGTGGGCGACCGGTTGCTCCGACCGGCCGCCCCCTGCCCCACTAGCTACTAGGGAGGAGGAAGGAGGCGGGCATACCCGCGCCTCCTCCGTCCCGTTCGCCGTCTTCGCGTCGGATGCGAGAGGGGATCGTCCTCCCTCTCGCGCTCCGAAGGAGACCATCGCTTCCCACGACCTCTGGCCGCCGACCATAGCACTTACTACGGCAGGCAGCGAGAGGTCGGCACCGACAACAGCCACCAGGCTCGCCCTCTCCGATGCCCACTGCGGGCAGTATGTCATACCTGGAGTAACCTAATTTGATACTTTATAATAATTTGTTTGTTTGTTACGTCTTCACGTCTGGTTACTCCAGGTATGACATACTAATTTTTGGGTTGCTATACTGATATTTTTTAAATTTGCCGGGCTTTTCAGTCTCTACTTTCGTTTGCCAGACTCTAAGGGCAGTAAGATCATGATGTTGATGTGGTTACCTCATTAGGGAGTAAAATGCGTGATGATAATGCCATCAATATCTTATTAACCTTTTGACATGCTTGCTTCATGTGATAAGTAGTATAAAAAGTAGGTATTCATTCAATTTTGAACTCTATTGCCTATGTCTTAAAGCGAATGCTACTCTTATGCCTTTGTGAATAGTGATCATAATTGTTAGTTTTTAATTTATTGTTATTAAGTCTGCTGTGATTTAAAAAATGTACAAATATTGTTAGTCGCAAAAGTTTATATAGTTCATATAAGTATGTCGCAACCAACTAGTTAACAATTCAAGCCATGCTTCGGCACGAATGGGCCGGCTCGGATGAAACAACGCTTGCGCTGTGTTTCGTCGTGTGAGTGAGGTTATTGGAGGCCCAATTCTTCACCCCCCCCCGCCCTAATCTCCCCAATACCTGAATCCCCAACGATCCTCAAACTCCTAAACCCCAAAAGGCCGGTACCGCACTTGTAACGCCTCTGGTGTTCCAGGTGTCCATGGGCGACGCCGATTGCTTACCATCACGTGATCCGTCTGCTCGTTTACCGGTTATCCCATAAAAAAATCGCCCATCTCTATGTGTGGCTATGATGATGATGAGGATTTATATCACTACATAGTATAAAACAAAGACGCTATCCTCCGTCTGTCTGTCCCTATGTATGCTTAGATCTCTAAAACTACGCAACGGATTTTGATGCTGTTCTTTTTAATAGATAGAGTGATTCTTAAGGATGGTTTATATGCGTAATACATGCATATTGCACCCGTGCGAAGCCGGGGCGGGTCGCTAGTTTAAGTATAATTATTTGATTTTTGTGACAATTTATGTGAGACCTAGTTTTACTTTAGTTCTTAAAGCTGTACCTACATTTGTTCAGCATCTTATATTGTTTTGTATAACAAAATAATGTTTGTTAATCTTTTGTTCCTAAGTTCCTAAATGGGTGGAGGGGGGGGGGCAAGGAACTGATGGCTGTGTTCACCAATCACGCCTAAACTGTCACTTAACTAAACATCACTTGATGTTGCTTCTAAACTAACCACTTACTTGTACCTTGTACTGTTAGGTGTCATTTATAAGTGACACCTAACACTTTCATGGGTGGTGAAAACTCATTTGGCGTTAAGGGTCGGTTAATTTTTAACTGTAGAATAAAATTGACTGCCTCGTTGGCCGAGTGGTCGCAAGTGCGACTGCCGGGCAAGGGGTCTCGGGTTCGATTCCCGGGTCGGGCAAAATAATAGCGGGTTTTAAAAAAATTCTCAGTAGTAGCACAGAGTCTGGAATTGTGCCCGGTATATGGCAATAGCCTCACCCCCTATTACATGGGACTCAACATAAATAGTGAAAAGTGGGTGTTACATTGTACAGTGGCATAATGTGCACCTCTGCCTACCCCTTCGGTGATAAAAGGCGAGATGTTATGTTATGTTAATAAAATTGACGTTTGACAGTTTTTAGTATGGAAGTCAGAATTGTCAAATATAAAAAATTATTCTTCAGTTAAAATTTATCTGATCATTGAAAAATTGGCCCTATGTGTCATTTGTCTTAGCATAGGGGGTTTCTTTAAAAGGCGAGATTGGTGAAAACAGGCGTGAGTCCTTTTAAAAGGACACTTCTGCCTGTTCCCTCGAAGTTTAGGCGTGATGTTAATAATAATTGTGATATTTAAATAATAGAAGATTTATAACCACCAAGTCATTGTGATGTAGCTTATTAAGTAAATTAATTAGGTCGGGAATCGAACCCGGAAACTGCGAATTACTACTTTTATTATAATGGTATAATTATGTTTATTTGAAAAATTATTTTGATTTATTATTGAATATTAATTAATGCACCTTACTAATAGATGAGATTCCCGGTGTGGTTCGAAACTAGTAGTGTTTTTCTCGAATGATTCACACGATAATGCTGTGTTTTTCAATTAATTTAGTACATTTGTACTACAACTTTAGTGTGACATACTAAATATGTTATTATGTTTTCGGCTTACTCTCGAATCACGGCTGAATAACGGCAGAGGGCGCGCTGGGTCCGCAGACTCGAGTAGCCAGTAGCAGCGCGACAGTCGCCGCGTCGCGGGTCGCGGAATGGTGCTCATGAATATGAGCCTCTAGCATGGCTTGAAACTAGTCGAGTTCCTCGTCAAATAATTACGTGAGTAAGCCGAAAACGTAATAATTTATTTAGTACATTGTACATATAATAGGTACACAAATTCATAGCTACTTTAATTATAATATTATTGGCGAGTCTCTTTATCATGCCAATTTTTTCCCGGAAATAATTTTGAGCCAAGTTTCAGATGAAAATAAATAAATAGCAAAATGTTGCTAGACGCTGACTTGTAAGCAATTTTGTGTCTTATTTCATTGTCATAGGGGTAGCATTAAATGCAAAACGTGCTCTAAAGCAAAACTTGCCTTAATTCAACGTAATAGAATTCAAAATTGTTTGACCAAATATCACCAAGTTTGTAATTAACTAGGACAATGAAAAGGACATTTATCGCTGTAGTATTAAGGTTTAAATTACAGTAATCGTTCATTTTTGTACTCTATAAATCATTGTATTAGAAATTGGCTTTAGTAGAGGTAAATTTTAAGTTATATTTTTTAATAATTTATAGCCTTTTTGTAGGACATGTTCAAGTAGTCACGTTCAGGGTGTATCAGGGTTAGATGCCCGATTGTAAAACAATTTGTGAACATGAGTACTGAAAAATGGTTGTATTGTTTTATATTTTATTATGGGCTTTAAAATGACTCAGCTAAAACATTCACGGGGCTCACAAAAGCTGTAGCTAGCACTGAACACTGAAGACATGAATAAAAATTTGCAATATTCATCTATTGTTGTTTCATTTGTAGATAATTTACCAACGCCTACTTGTAAGTCATAAGTGCACCTTTTATTTTAAGGGGGGAAAATCATCCAATGACTTCTCCCGCCTTGAGTTGGCGAGAGGGAGTGTCAGACTCTTACTGACTAAAAATCACCCCGTTCCTATTCCTGCTCTTTGAGCCGGAGCCCCGGCAACCCGTTAGGCCTTCCGCGGCTCCGTAAAGTGCTACTGTGTAGTGTTAGACGACGAAAATCAACTAAATGAACGTCACTAGTTTAATCTATGTTATCGACAGCACTAGCTGTCATGTTGTTGATGTCATCTGTCAAATGGGACAGATTAGAAAAGTTTCCCGCGCAAAGTGGGGTGACGCGCGATTCTGGGGGGAAGTTCGAAGAGCATTGCGCTGTGTTCCTAAAAAAATCCGTTTATAATAAACTTTTCAGTATTTAAGTATTGAGTTTTACTTAAAAGTAGCTATGAGGCTCTATTGCGATTCTCGGTTCAGGCAGTCTTGCTAAAACTATTGGTTTTTAGAAAATTTATCAGAAAAAAAAATTAAATAAATTTAAAAATGTATCACGTAGTCTGTAATGGGGCTACCGCATTTTTGGCTACCATATAGCGCAAATATACAAAGATATTTTTGTCTTACTCTTGAACCCAATTCCGATCGATCGACATTCGTACTCTTGAGTTGCAATACTAGTTCCTATTGCATCCGTATGGCGTTAATATTTCATGAATTAAATGGTATTTTTTTTAAGGGGGGAAAATCATCGAATGACTGCTCGCGCCTGGGTGAGCTTAGGTTCTCCGCGACGACTAAATGGTATTTAGATTGGCTTTATGTTCCGTACTCTAACACAAAGAGTTGTTCTGTGCGGGAATCGAACCCGCGACACGTTGCGCGGCAGCCAGTCGCCCAGCCAAAGCATCAACCGTACAGTGAAGTTTCATCGTGTCAACTTTTTCATCATGTTTTCCGATTACTGTTTATGCCATAAGTTTCGAAGGTAGACCTGAAAACGAAAAAATGAAAAACCCAAAAAGATTTTTAAGTTATTTATTTACTTTTTTATAAATGCTATCCGTTTAATAGTTCACTAAGGGACCTAAGTCCATGTTGTGTCCTAAGATGAGAACTCTCTAAAATAGAACTCGTCGTACTATTAGTAAACTTCATCAGCAAAGATTGATTGAATTCATAATCTTGAACACTCGTTGCCGTTGAAGGAGGAAAAGACGGGAATTCTTTGATTACTGGGGCTTTACAGATCGGTTCATAGTCAAAGCCGAAAACTTGTAAAGAATGCTCTGAAGGAATCACCATTGATGTGTCAGTAGTACAAGTCCTATTGCGTTTTTTTAAATTATTTCTGTAATCTGAATTACGGGATAATGAATTCATTGATCTCATAAAACCGCTTTCCGGGTTATAAGACTTTTTGCTAGATTTAGTGCTAGCTGATATTAATCTTCTTCTTTTAAACTGGCATACGTGAACGTCTCCTTCGCTTGGTTTCTTAGACTCGGCGAAATGTATAGATTTTTTACATCTGCGCTTATTGCGTGCTATTATTTTTAAAGCTTGGTAGAAATTCCGTGGTTCCTCGAACGCATCATCTTCCATTTTTAGCTGGTCCTTTAAAATGTTTATAAAAATTTTCTTTCTTTCTTTTTTCAGCGTTTTCTTGTTTGGTACTGGTACACTAGTTGTTGTGGGTATTGGTTTCCTTTTGTATTCTATTGGCTCTTGTTTTATCTTCTGACGTTTTTTTACTGATTTAGTTGGAGATAATGTCCTTGAACGTTTAAAAGGTTTTGGTAGAAAATGTTCTAGTAACTGTTTGTCATCCCAATTGTCTTTTATGTCTGGTTTGATGCAGTAGAACCTAGGAAGCGATTCTTTATCTTCACTAAGTGAATCTTTCGTTTTATGTATCGCCAATTTCTTAGCAACCGATTCATCAATTTCGAAATGTACTTTTGATGAAAACGTAGATGGGGTGGGCACGTTATTGAATTCAGTTTTAACATTGTACACACTAAAAGTAGTTTCAAGAAGATCGTAGAAGAAATTATAGAACTTCTTGTCATCTTTTTTAGGTACTGCTGCTATTAGAGTCGAAGGATCTTTGTCAATTGGTTTGACTTTTATATCTCTAGGTTTTATTGTCATCTCTTTAAATTCTCTGTCTTTATTATTTTCTTGCATTGGTATGTCTAAGTTCTTTTTAGGAGTGGGTAGTATTATATCAGCCCATTTGATTGTTTCTGGTTCCTTGTACAAGCTGCCAGCGTCCCTAAATCGATCACTTCTCTCAGAAGTATTCGAGGGTGTGTGTGTGATTTCTTTAGTAGATTGTAGGACTATGAGTTGTTCAAAATCTGACCCGTGATGATCTTCATTCAGTATTTTGGAACGATATCTAGGTTTTCTTTTGGAAGTAGTTGATGTGCTAATATCTTCTCTTATTATTTCAGCATCTTTATTCTTTCTTAGTCTTGATTTTATTTTGTCTTGTTTCCTTAATCTTTCTGAGTTGTCTTGGTCTGGATATTGGGTTCCAGTTGTCGATTGGGAGAGGATTTTGAGGACTGACGCCAGGAATCTTTTTCTACCTGGTCTTGGTATTGGACGTGGACTTGATGGGGGTCTCGGGGTAGGTAGTGATTGTCCTTGGAATAAGAATTAAGTGGTACAATGAAATAAAAGGTAAAGTTTGCAAAAGTGTCTCAGTGGTTTGACAACCGGCTACTGATGACACTGAGCTTTGTTCAGTGGTAGCGTTTGCAGTCACTCGCTAAACACGATTTCTGAACTAAATCTAAGTGACCAAAACAGACTCTCTAGATCAATCTTAGATCGGGTCGTAGTTACATTGTACAGTGGCATAATGTGCACCTCTGCCTACCCCTTCGGGGACAAAAGGCGTGATGGTCTGATTGAGGCAGTCTTCGATTTTCCGAAAATTCTCGTAGTTGCTTAAAGTCTGAGATTATTCTCGGTAAGTTTATAGCAATAGTCTCACGCCCTATTATGTGGGACCCATATTATATTTGTAGGTGAACCTATTTCTCTATATCTTTAGTGAATAACAAGTATGCTCTAATAAATATTTTCTTCAAGTTTTTAAACTGAACGGGACGGGATTGATTATTTTTGACTTATTCACGTAACTGTTTGGCGAGGAACTCTATATAGACAGTCGCTGCGTCGTGTGTAGCGCAATTCTATGCATGAATGAGCCTCTAGTATGGCTTGAAGTCGCGGAGAACCTAACGGGTAATCGGGGCTCCGGCTCGACGTGCAGGAGAAGGAACGGGGTGGCTTTTAGTCAGTACGAGTCTGACAGTCCCTCCTGCCTCACCTAGGTGGGAGCAGTCATTCGATGATTTTCTCCCCTTAAAAAAAAAAATTGTACAGTGGCATAATGTGCACCTCTGCCTATCCCTTCGGGATAAAAGGCGTGATGTTATGTTATGTTATGTAAAAAAAAAGTATGGCTTGAAACTAGTCGAGTTCCTCGCCAAACAGTTATGTGAATAAGACGAAAAACTAAATTAAATAAGTATATCTCACGAGACATACTAAATTAATTATTATCGCCCGCTTCTCACGCATGAGGTCATCCATCAGGGTTCAAATCCTACTAACAGCAATTACTAATGTGACTTTTTCCTAGTTATATAAGAGACCTGGGCTTATAATTTGTAATTATAAGTTTGAAAAGACCGGCATTGAGTAAGCGTAGTGATTAATGCTCAAACCTTCTCTGTGTGAGACGAGGCCTTTGGTCAGCAGTACTACTTATAGGCTGTTGATGTGATGTGAAGTAAGTGTCTCATGAGAGTTATGATATGAACTTACCCACAGGACTCAAATCTCTATCGTTAATAGACATTTTAGTAGACTTCTTCTCCACGTATACTCCTCGTTTCTTCAACATTAAAGGCTGGATTTCAGCGTGACTCCGACTTTTCTTGCGTTTCCTTGATTCTGACTTGGTTGTTATCGCACTGTTCGACGATTTCGATTTCACGACTATCGATTTTGGCTTATTCATTTTGTCAAATTTCTATAATCATAATTCTTCTTGTTTTGTTACAATTTCATAATATCATGAAATGGTTTCGTTTTTATTTTAGAATTTTTTTTTCTAATTTTTCTAATTTATTTTACGTATGTTTTGTAAATAAGTCGTGACGTTGTTAACAAAAAAAAGTAAACGCTCCTTGTCTATGATTTTAATCTCGTTGGTTTGGGTTCTGAACTCTAAGAAGGATACTTTGGTAACCATAACTCTAGTTAGCCAAGATGGTTACAAAGTACAGCTTTCAAGTAGGGAAGTGTTGGTCAAGTGTGGGAGAGCCATGCTTTGGCACGAATGGGCCGGCTCGACCGGAGTGATATCACGGCCGAGCCGAAAACCGACGTGGAACAACGCTTGCGCTGTGTTTCGTCGTGTGAGCGAGGTTAACAGAGGTCCAATTACCCTCCCTGCGACCTGCATCCAGCGGCTCCTTGCGACCTCAATCAGGTCGTCAATTCACATTGCGGATTGACATTGTGTCATTGTTTGATGTATCTTTACTGTTAGTTGATGTTGAGAAAATAAATGGTAATGTTAAGTTAGTTTTTTTTGACAAACAAAACTCTTTTCTCCACTGGCATACAACCTCCTTACAACAAACCAACAACAACAAAAGCATAAAATAAAAAAAGAATACAAAACCAGTTGGCATACAAACTGACAGTACACCTGAAACCTAATACAAAATCTAAACACTCATAAATTCTCAGTGTCACAAGCAAAAATTTTATCGAAGTTATGGAAAAAAAGCGGCGAAACGAGATGTTAGAGAAAAAAATCGACAAGATCAAAGACCGTGGTGATTTGCGCAAATCACCAGAGAAGGCTACCAAGAGAAGCGATGAAAATAAACATGCAGACCTAAAGATGGTACACCCAGAAAGAGGGGATTCAGATCTATTGGCAAAATTTAATCAAATACCTGAAAAACTGAGAATGAATATAGTTATGAGAAAACTAAAAAGTATAACGGATGCCACTGAGAAAGAGCTAAGCAATAAAAAAAGTATTGATGGGCAGAGTTCAGCAAATACATTGGAGTTGAGAAAGCGTATACGGGAAAAATATACGCTGAAACTCAAGAGCTCTGCGCAGAAAACGGATAGACCACAATCGGTTACTAAAAAAGAAGAACCTAAGCCAATTATAAACACTATTAGTAGCGCTAAATCTGGTATTTATTTGTCAGATATCATTTATTAAATTAGATCACTGTTTAGCCCTTTAAATCACATCATCATATCTTAATATCACGCCTTTCATCCCCGAATGGCATAGACATAGGTGCACATTACAGCACTTAATACCACTGTACAATTTAACACCCACTTTTCACGATTTACCTATGTTATGCGTCCCATGTAATAGGGGGTGCGCCTATTGCCTTATACCGGGCACAATTCCAGACTCTGTGCTACTAATGAGAATTTTTTAAAACCCAGTAATACTTTACCCGACCCGTGAATCGAACCCAAGACCCCTTGCCCGGCAGTCGCACTTGCGGCGCACTTGAGGCGCTGATTTTCACTTACAATATAATATATTTTCCAGATCGATACACCAACACAATAACAGAAGAAGCAACGCAGACGAAAGACAAACTGATCCAATCTACAGAAGATAACGTTTCAACCAAAAATGAACCGATTCCAGAGAAAAAACCAGAACGGGGTATAATAAAACTGGAGAAAACCAGTTCAAAAAACGCTCAAAGCTCCAATAAACACAATCGGAAACCAATGATCAAAACTATAATGTCCAAAAATGGCCAAGTCAGGATATTTAAGGCAGTCACCTTCGTTGACCAGGTAAAAAACCCTACACCGTTAGAAATCAGCATACCGACCGATGCCATGAAGAAGTTGAAAATAACAAAATGTACGGATACCAGTTCTTTGAAATTAAAATTGAAAAGAAGCCCGAGTCAGACGAGTATTAAAGATAGATCATCGCCAGTTAGAAAGAAAGTTGAAAGAAGAAAAGAGAAGAAACCGCAGAAGTGTGCTTTGTCACCAGATAGCTCGAAGATGATCGTTTCACCCCCAACTGAGGTTGCAAGATGGGCACCAGCGTCTATAGATGAACAGACAAAACCATACTACGAAGCATGGGTCAACACTACACTAGCAGCCATATCTAAAAATACGAAACAAGACAAATTATTCTACGAAAAATACAAAGCAAGTTTACTGGCAAGTTTAAAGAAAGCTCAACAAGAAAGGCCACGAACTCCAGAATTGGTTTATAAGAATTACTCCGATGAGAGGTATACGGGTAGAATCAAAATAACGCAAAGATCAACACTGTTTTAGTGATAAAAAATTTAAGATGTTGCGAAATTTTTATGCTTTTAAATTTTATTTTCAAAGGCTAAATTAAAGGTTGTTTGATGTCATTATGGACTTGTGCTGAATAAGCAACGATTTGACCAAAGAAACAGTGATAAAACCTGTTTCCTACACGGTCTACCATTGGCAAGGCGCTTGTGATGCCACTGGTGATGCAGGCGGTTGAACTACAGGTATGCTTATCATCAGTTGGTCCATAAGTTTTGTTTCAGAACTTTAAATGAAGCAATTACAACAGTTCATTAGTGTGGACAATGGTATACCAATTAATTATTATGTTTTCGGCTTAATCACGTAATTATTTGACGAGGAACTCGACTTGTTTCAAGCCATGTTAGCATTCCGCGACCGCTAGTGGTTACTCGAGTCTGCGGTGCCGGCCCAGAGCGCCCTCTGCCGTGATTCACGCGCACTTTCCTCCATCTGTGGTATAGGGCGGCGCGAACGACACTGTTAGCACGTTAGACTCGTTCGTCGGCGCCTGCGTAAGTGTTGAGTTTGAATTCCAATTGACGCAAAAACAGGGTCATATTCTGCGCTCACTGTGTCACACTCCTCGTCAAATAATTACGAAAGTAAAGCGAAAACTATAATAATTAATTTCGTATGTGTCACGAAAATTATTTTATAGATAATGGTAGACCAGTTACCAGGTGTTTGGTATATTTAATATTTTGATTAATGTTACTAAGATAAATTTGTCTTGTCGAAATTATGTAAAAGTATGAGTTCTGTCTTAATTTTGAGTAAATATTTTGAGTATAGTGGTGTAAAACCTGCTTTTTATTTCATTATTATTACACACGCCCACACACGCACGCACATAATTTATAACAGCCTATGAGTTGCCACTGATGACCAAAGCCCACACGGAAAAAGTTTGAGCATTAATCACCACGCTTGTTCAATGCGAGTTGGCGATTTCAAACTTATAATTAGAAATTATAAGCCCAGGTTTCCTCGCGATGTTTCCTTCACCGTTTGTCAGTGGTGTGATCTTTGAAAGTACATGTAACTCGGAAATGGTCACATTACCAATGTGCTACCAATTTTTTGCCAAATCGGTACAGCCATTTGTTATTAGATATCATTTGTTTTCTTGGCTATGGCTCCAGGACAGGGGTCAATTGACGCGGAGAGGGGCAGCGGAGTGGAGCTAGCGAGTATTGCGGAGCGGAGTTACGGACTGTGTCTGTCCATTGAGGCAGAGCGAGGCAGCGGTGCGGAGCCAGCGAGTATTACTGAGCGGAGTAATGGACTGACAAACTTCAGCAGTTTACTGTAGTATCCCAATATCCCATACCCAGGCCTTGATCCCGAGATCGCTTCCCCGCTCCGCCGTCTCGCACAGCTACTTCGCACCGCTTCAGAAAATGTATGAATTTTTAAACTAGCTCGCAAATCCCTTTCCACTGAAGCGGAGCGGAGATTTCATGCAATGATATCGGTTAACATTTCTTCGTTTCTTCGCTCCGTTGCCCCTCTCCACGTCATTAGACAGGCAGCCTTATAATGGCTTTGTGACATAACTGATGACGTTCTTAACATTTTAATGTATACCTACAGTCAGGCATTAAAGTTTCGTTTTATTTGAAACACTTACCTGTTTACCAACTCTTGTTCTCCTTCTCTCCAGCCTCCTCTTTATCGGTGGAAGACGACTGCTGAGCAAGGGGCCTTGGGTTGGCCTGGTTGTAAAGGATTATTGTGGGATTTTCAGTCTTTCAAAAACTCTCTTGAGTCTGGAGTTGTATGATAATAGACTCATGCTAAAGATAATAGCTAGTTTTCCGGTTTTTTGGAAATGTATTAGTAATGCCACTGAGTCTGGAGTTGGCAAGTGGTTTATCTCATGGGAGTCATAACATAACTGAAGATATGTAGGTGTCAGATTGAATCCTGTGGGTGGGAGTAGGCGTTAGCGTAGTGGTCTACACGTGCCACTCGAGGAAAGGCAGCATCCTCTTCGTCTTCTCTCTCTCTTCTTCCTCTTCTTGCACCTTAGGTTAGGCGAGAAGGAGTGTCAGAATCTTACTGAGTAAAAATCACCCCGTTCCTAATTCTGCACTTCGAGCCGGAGCCCCGGCAACCCGTTAAGTCTACCGCGACTCCGTATCAGAATCAGCACTATCGGGCCCCATCTGTAGTGGTCTGATGGCTCTTTGAGGTGCACGCGGAAGGCGACGCCCCGTACGCTCGGGTCTGGTTCTGATCGGGAGGCGAGTTCTGCTGCATATAAAGCTTGGTATGTCGTACTTGTTTCATCGTACCCATTACTATTCCTTTAATTTTTAAAAAGGATTAGAGTCTCATGTATTTGATACATAAGGGTCTCATAACACAACTGATTTAAAATAGGTGTAATATCTAGAGGTATAAATATTTTCAATATTTCGGTAGGCTGCCTCGTTGGCCGAGTGGTCGCAAGTGTGACTTGCCCGGCGGTAAGGGGTCTTGGGTTCGATTCCCGGGTCGGCCAAGTATTACGGGGCTTTTTAAAAACAATCTCAGTATCAGCACGGAGTCCCGGTATATGGCAATAGGCTCATCCCCTATTTTTTTTTAAAGAAAACGTTGCGCCACACTAACGTTTTCTCCTGTTTCGTGGGTGTTTTTACAAACATACGAATTAACATACACATGACGCCCAGAGCCGGACCAACAATTTGTGGATCACACTAAGCGTTGTACCGCGCGGGAATCGAACCCGCGGCACGCTGCACCCCACCCACCGCACCAACCGTGCAGTCTTACATGCATTTAGTGCAGTATTACATGGGACTCATAACATAAATAGTGAAAAGTGGGTGTTACATTGTACAGTGGCATAATCCGCATAATGTGCACCTCTGCCTACCCCTTCGGTGATAAAAGGCGTGATGTTATGTATGTTATTTCGGTACTTCTTTGGATGATTTGACTTCTTTTTCATATATTTGAAATCCTTGACCCAGAATTTATTTGTATTGTGTTTAGATTTTTTTTTATTATTTGTTGATCTCACAAAATCATGCTCCAGGTCGGAATAGAATCCGTATTCATATTTATAAAGACTACTAAAGAGTATTTTTTCAGTTTTATAAACTATTTTAACCAATCCTACGTATCTTGGAAAGAATAAGGCCGTCGGTAGAGAGCGCCTTAGACGGATATAATTATACTGACCGGATATAATTAGACCGACGAGCATGCATGAAAAGATTGATGACTGTTGATGAAGCGAAAGAGGTATGTAAGAATCTTAGCTATTAGCGTTCCATAGTCTTTGCTTACCATGGGAGACAAGCGTAAAATTACGTAATAATAAATAAAAAAACTGATTTTAGACTGTTTTTTTTTTATTTGAAGAGTAGGTAAATAGGTACAAAATATTGATACAGACGGGTTATACTATAGCTATAGGAGGATATAAGGATACAGAGGTCAAATATGCTGCGACACGTGTCGTTGGGTGAAATAACGCGACGGCGTTCGGTCTAGTTGTCTGGCAACACCAACGTCTGTCGGCTTACTCTTGAATCCAATTCCGATCGATCGACATTGGTATTGTGAAATTTCGTACTCTTCAGTTCTAACACTAGCGCCCTTTGCATCCATATTGCGTAGGTATTTAATGAACTAAATGGCATTGAGTTTGGCTTTATATTCCGTACTCTGAATGCTATTTTAATAGGGGTTGTATAGTTTTGACATTGAATAATTATTGAGTTTTCATTGGATTGCAATTGCATTGACATTGTGATTGGTTTCAAGAGTAAGCATCAAGTTGCGCGTTGTCACAGTATATGACAGGCCTGCTTCGACATGTAGCCGATATAATTGGGATGACGGGGTATGTAAATTAAAAATCTATTTAGTCCGTAAGTTAGGCAATGAAAAAACATTAGACACGTATTTTTTTGTTGTATAATAAAATAATACTTAGATAAAATGAATCAAGGTATAGAAGTGGAGGCTAAAACGTCATTTCTACGTATAAAATGTATGTACATAGAAGTGACGTCACGCGACATTTCAAATCAATATATCGTCGAAAGTATTCGTTTCTGTAGGTAAGAAAATAAAAAATACGTGTCTAATGTTTTAAAATAATCTACCAGACGGACATTAAAATAAAAATTCGGCATCTACCCTATTATGTCGTGGGACATTTGTGCCATAATGTATCCTTGGGTTTACTTATACTTAAAACACAAAATAAAGTAACTACGTATTTTTGTGAACAATACAATTAGTTTTTATTTAATTAAATCACATAAAACATTACCTACACAGGTTTTCTTAAACTTAAAAGAGTAAATATAACATATAAATGAATTGAGTTGGTTACTGAATTAGAATTACATTTGGCGGCATTCAACGAAGCCAATAAACGCTGGTGGCTTTATTTTTTTCATAAGAGCATTCGACAGAGCTACCAGCGTTTATTTTTTTCATAATAAAAACATAATTATTATAATTATCATACAATTATTATTATTAAATAATTAATAATTATTATTAACTCGTCGAGTACCGGTTTTGTAGACACAATTATAGAACAATAGGTTGCGGTCACCGGTGACCGCTTGGTGTTTGACAGTTTAATATATATTATAAATCCGTTGAAAATCATCCCCTAAATTTGTTCATACAAAAGTAGTCTCTATACATTGGAAATATGGTCTATAATGTAGTTAGGGGAGAGTGGTCACGGTTACCGGTGATTTATTTATTTATTTATAAGCACATGTATAATTTTACAGTACAAGCCAAAACATTATACAGTTAAACAATAAAAAATGTTACTTATTTACTATTTTACACTTATGTAATAGGTATCTTATATAAAAAGTACAATAATTATAATTACCTACTTAAAACTAATTCATCAGCCGTCCATCATCTCACAAAATCTTGCACATTCACGACATACATCCAGAGTGTACACCAGAGTGTGATTTGTTCGCAGCATCTTGCTGCGAACAAATCACACTCTGGTGCGGATGCCAGGAAAGCATTGATCATCGTTAATGCTCGAACAAGCGGAGAATTTTCATGTGCGACTGTTTGCGTTACTGGGACAGCCAGTAAGGGGTACCTACGTGGCCTAAGCTGATGCTTCAGAACTGGGGGCACAAACAACCGTACCACCTCCGGACAGTTAGATTGTCCTCGCAGACTACTACAGGTAGAAATAATAAGAGAGTAATTTCGCCTCACTACCAAAGAATTAAAATTTAACATGCCCAGTAAAAACTTGGTGGGATATAAGAATGGATAGTACTCAAATAGTTTTTTGTACAGAAATCTAAGAAATGCTTTTTGCACTTTCTCCAGCAATAAAGCATAAGTACTCTCATGAGGATTCCATACAATAGATGCTGTCTCCAGTTTGGTACGAACTAGAGCCATGTACACAAGTTTGATAGCTTTAGGATTATCAAATTCACGCATATTACGGATAACGAAACCTAATCTGCGATAAGAGTCAATTGTAAGTAACCTCATATGTTCGTGAAAGTTCGGGATATATGGGTATAGCAGAATAAAACGCCGTTGAAAAAATAAAGCATACGCAGACTGCTATTTATTTTTACTGCGTTCTGCTATTTGCTGTAAGCGCCATCTATTACGTTTTACAAGAAGTTTTTCGATTTTATTGTAACCAAAATGAAACGTCAACGGTCTCAACGGAACTATTTTGTTTCTTAAAAATAACAAGAGATGGCGATGTTTGGCACTAACATTTACTATCGACTTCAACTATATTGGCATAAGGTCGCATATTCATCGATAACCAAAAAAGCGCAGATTGTCAATTTCGTGGAAATATTCGTTCTGCTATTTGCGTTCGTTCGGCTTAGTTGCTAGTTTGCTACTTGGCTACTTGCTATTTTATTAGCGCAGCCTGCGCACTACGCTGCGCAAACACTGTTTGATTTTTTATGGGGGGGGGGATCATCGAATGACTGCTCTCGCCTGGGTAAGGCGGGAGGGAGTGTCAGACTCTTACTGACTAAAAACCACTCCGTTCCTTCTCCTGCACGTCGAGCCGGAGCCCCGGTTACCCGTTAGGTTATCCGCGACAGACACTGTTTGATTGCGTGGCGGTTGTTCGAGTGTCCGTTGTTTGCGTTTTTTAGTATTTCTCGTGTTTGCGGTTGTAAACAAAGTAAGTTTTCGTTTAAATATAATGTAACGTAATGTAATTTTATGAATAAGACTGACAAAATCCGTTGGCACTACTGGAATCAGCTTACTGGCGCATGAGCAGAGACGTCATGCATTCTTAAATGTTCTACAGTCGGTGGCGCTGTGGGCTGGGTCGCTCCGATCCTACGAAATAGTTGATCGGACCGATTGCTGGCCCTCACGTCATGCTCGTGAACGGGCATCGGCCTTCTACTGGAGCAGGTCGGCTCGCTTATCGGGTGGGCCGATCCAGTAGGGTTAATGTAAATGTAATGGTTAATGTAGGTATAAGTGTAAATTTTAAAATTAATGAAATAATTCATT